TCCACCCAGACTCTGCAATACTTAAAGGCTGCCTTGGTCACCATGCCCAGCCTCCTGCCTCTCTCCAGTATGCAGATCTGAGCTTCCTCCCCTTCTCCATCCCTCCTCCTCCAGGAAGCTCTCAGGTTTCTGGAGAGGTGGGAGGGCTCCAGAAGCTCTGACCTTCAGAACCTCCCGAGCCTGTCCTGAGGTGAACTCCTGACTCATCCCAGGCTGCTAGCATCTGACTGACGAAAAAAAAAACCCAAAAAACTACCTCGCTAACCTGGAGGGCGTTATATGTCTAATCGTTGGTGTTCACCAGGACCGAGCTGGAGATCAGAATGAGATTTGTCTAATCGTTGGTGTTCACCGGGACCGAGCTGGAGATCAGAATGAGATTTGTCTAATGGCCGGTGTTCACCGGGACTGACCTGCAGATCAGAATGAGATTTGTCTAATCGTTGGTGTTCACCAGGACCGAGCTGGAGATCAGAATGAGATTTGTCTAATCATTGGTGTTCACCGGGGGACCGAGCTGGAGATCAGAATGAGATTTGTCTAATGGCCGATGTTCACCGGGACCGAGCTGGAGATCAGAATGAGATTTGTCTAATCGTTGGTGTTCACCGGGACCGAGCTGGAGATCAGAATGAGATTTGTCTAATCGTTGGTGTTCACCGGGACCGAGCTGGAGATCAGAATGAGATTTGTCTAATGGCCGATGTTCACCGGGACCGAGCTGGAGATCAGAATGAGATTTGTCTAATCGTTGGTGTTCACCGGGACCGAGCTGGAGATCAGAATGAGATTTGTCTAATCGTTGGTGTTCACCGGGACCGAGCTGGAGATCAGAATGAGATTTGTCTAATCGTTGGTGTTCACCGGGACCGAGCTGGAGATCAGAATGCGATTTGTCTAATCGTTGGTGTTCACCGGGACCGAGCTGGAGATCAGAATGAGATTTGTCTAAACGTTGGTGTTCACCGGGACCAAGCTGGAGATCAGAATGAGATTTGTCTAATCGTTGGTGTTCACCGGGACCGAGCTGCAGATCAGAATGAGATTTGTCTAAACGTTGGTGTTCACCGGGACCGAGCTGCTGATCAGAATGAGATTTGTCTAATAATCGGTGGAAGGATTAGGCTGAACTTTCATTGCAAGTTTCACGTTGAGATTTTCTCTATGTCATCATTAATGAAGACCTTCCCCCGCTGACTATTACTGTCTAACACGTTTCTCTGCTATCATGTTATTCAGAATGAATGATGATATTTACCTCCACTGAGAAACATGATATTCAGAACGTCAGACGGCCAAAAATGTAAAGTGGTTCCAAGCCTAACATGTGTTACCTCAATGTATTCCCTGCATTCTGCTGTCCATCCTAGGAGCCTATGGCTTTAACCCGTATGTTGTACGGACCTGACAGAGGGGGGTTCTACACATACACCCGGTGGCTGCAGCCACCTATTTGTGTGTAAAGCCACCAGTATTGCATGTCAGAAGCCACCAGCATTGTGTGTAAAGCCACCAGTATTGTGTGTAAAGCCACCAGTATTGCATGTTGTAAAGCCACCAGTATTGCATGCCTATGGCCACCAGTATTGCGTGTAAAGCCACCAGTATTGCATGTAAAGCCACCAGTATTGCGTGTAAAGCCACCAGTATTGTGTGTAAAGCCACCAGTATTGTGTGTAAAGCCACCAGTATTGCATGTAAAGCCACCAGTATTGTGTGTAAAGCCACCAGTATTGCATGTAAAGCCACCAGTATTGCGTGTAAAGCCACCAGTATTGCATGTAAAGCCACCAGTATTGCGTGTAAAGCCACCAGCATTGTGTGTAAATCTGACAGATGAAAGCAGTCTGAGACCTCCAGCAGTGCTGCATTGCTTTTATACCCCCTGGTAATGGGTGTCCCCTCCCCTGGGCTACGCTTGCCCATCTGCGGGCCCGTGACTGACCTAGCGGAGGCTGCTGGGCACAGGGGAGGGAGCTGAGAAGACACACATCCGCTCTCCTCCTCCTCCTCTCGTTGCTGATGACGTGTAAAACATCACTTCCAGGTCCTCTTGTCGGTTCCCCGGGCTAGTACCTTTTTGTCTCCTATGTGATGAAAAATAAAAAGTTAAGTAAAAAAAAAGTTATTTGTAAAAAAATGTAAATACACCCAAGCATATAAAATCTCCCCCCCCAAAAAATGTTGAGGCCCCCACCTACGAACCAATGAACGTATGAACGTAAACGCACCCATCAGGGGCTCCCATGCATGAAAACGTTGATTTTGATACACAAGTAACACATTCTGGAGTGAGAGGGATAATACCAGCACCAGACCCCCTCTGTAAGGTGAAACTGATGACCTATAGGGGGCTTCTAAATTGCAGCCTGTAGAAAATATTCTGACGTTTATCACCATTTCACGGGCGCACGCAAATTTAAGGTTTGCCATGTTGGGTATCTATTTACTCGGTACAACCTCCTCTTTTATATTTTACCAAAAAATGTGGGAAATTTACTGCATTTTTGTGTGCCCTAAAATTAACTGAATTGTATTTTTTTCTGAATTTTTGCATTTCCTAGACTTTTGCGGTAATATCGTTCGACATAAAAAATTGGAACAACCACTATTTTATTCTCTAGGACACGGGTGTCAAACTGGCGGCCCTTCAGCTGTTGCCAAACTACAAGTCCCATGATGCATTGCAAGATTGACAGTTACATGCATGGCTTCCAAAGGCAGAGGCATGATGGGACTTGTAGTTTCACAACAGCTGGAGGGCCGCCAGTTTGAAACCCTGCTCTAGGGTGTCTGCTTTCAAAGATATATCATGTTTTGGGGGTTTTATGTAATCTTCAGGCCTAAAATGATTTTTTAAATATAATTGCAAAAAAAACATCACAACCGTCTCTGCCATCAAAAGGTTTAAAGATCCTCCTGTCTTCGGTGGGAGTGAGGGGACCAGAGCCGTGTGCAGAGCTATCTCTGCTTCATTCTAAATCAGTCGTTGTCAACTTATGAGGTAAAGGGGGCTTCAAATGTGCAAATGACATCCCCAAAGGGCCACACATAATGTTCAATATACACTGCCAAAAGTATTGTAAATGTTATATCCAGTTATATTCTGTGTATCGAACGTCGGAGAGATGGTCATATCTTACACTTAAATCTAAACTGATAACCTGCAAAAGCTTTTAGAGCGTCACCTATGGACAATTTTAGGTATTGCAGTTTGACCCCATTTCACAGGCATGAAAAATGTTATATCATGATATACTATATTGCCCCAAGTATTGTCCCCGCCCCCCCTGTATATACACTATATTACCCCAAGTATTGTCCCCGCCCCCCCCATGTATGTACACTATATTACCCCAAGTATTGTCCCCGCCCCCCCGTATATACACTATATTACCCCAAGTATTGTCCCCCCCCCCCCACGTATATACACTATATTCCCCCAAGTATTGTCCCCGCCCCCCTGTATATACACTATATTACCCCAAGTATTGTCCCCGCCCCCCTGTATGTACACTATATTACCCCAAGTATTGTCCCCCCGCCCCCCCGTATATACACTATATTACCCCAAGTATTGTCCCCGCCCCCCCCTGTATATACACTATATTACCCCAAGTATTGTCCCCCCGCCCCCCCTGTATATACACTATATTACCCCAAGTATTGTCCCCGCCCCCCCCCCGTATGTACACTATATTACCCCAAGTATTGTCCCCGCCCCCCTGTATGTACACTATATTACCCCAAGTATTGTCCCCGCCCCCCTGTATGTACACTATATTACCCCAAGTATTGTCCCCGCCCCCCCCTGTATGTACACTATATTACCCCAAGTATTGGGCTGCCGGCCTTTCCACGCACATGACCAAGTTTAATGGCCCCCCCAGTCTTATATACACCGTACGGTTCAATATTGGGTTGGCCCCGCCCTTTCCACGCACATGACCTTTAATGGCCTCCCAGTCTTAGTCCGTAGGGTTCAATATTGAGTTGGCCCCGCCCTTTCCACACACATGACCTTTAATGGCCCCCCAGTCTTAGTCCGTAGGGTTCAATATTGAGTTGGCCCCGCCCTTTCCCCTCACATGACCTTTAATGGCCCCCCAGTCTTAGTCCATAGGGTTCAATATTGAGTTGGCCCCGCCCTTTCCCCTCACATGACCTTTAATGGCCCCCCAGTCTTAGTCCGTACGGTTCAATATTGAGTTGGCCCCGCCCTTTCCACACACATGACCTTTAATGGCCCCCCAGTCTTAGTCCGTAGGGTTCAATATTGAGTTGGCCCCGCCCTTTCCCCTCACATGACCTTTAATGGCCCCCCAGTCTTAGTCCGTAGGGTTCAATATTGAGTTGGCCCCGCCCTTTGCACCTATAACAGCTTCAGCTCTTCTGGGAAGGCCGTCCACAAGGTTTAGGAGGGTGTCTATGGGAAGGTTGGACCATTCTTCCAGAAGCACATTTGTCAGGTCAGGCACTGATGTCGGGGGAGGAGGCCTGGCTCGCAGTCTCCGCTCTAATTCATCCCAAAGGTGTTCTATGGGGTTGAGGTCAGGACTCTGTGCAGGACAGTCAAGTTCCTCCACCCCAAACTGACTCCTCCATGTCTTTATGGACCTTGCTTTGTGCACTGGTGGGTAGTCATGTTGGAACAGGAAGGGGCCATCCCCAAACTCTTCCCACAAAATTGGGAGCATGAAATTGTCCAAAATGTCGCCTTAAGAGTACCCTTCACTGTAACTAGGGGGCCAAGCCTAACCCTTGAAAAACAACCCCACACCGTAATCCCCCCTCCACCAAACTGTACACTTGGCACAATGTGTTCCCCTGGCAACCGCCAAACCCAGACACATCCATCGGATTGCCAAACAGAGAAGCATGATTGGTCCCTCCAGAGAACACGTCTCCTCTGCTCTAGAGTCCAGTGGTAGCGTGCTTTACACCACGGCATCTGACGCTTTGCATTGCACTTGGTGATGGAAGGCTTGGATGCAGCTGCTCTAGAGTTCAGTGGCGGCGTGCTTTACACCACGGCATCCGACGCTTTGCATTGCACTTGGTGATGGAAGGCTTGGATGCAGCTGCTCGGCCATGGAAACCCATTCCATGAAGCTCTCTACGCACTGTTGTTGGGCTCATCTGAAGGCCACACCAAGTTTGGAGGTCTTTAGCTATTGACTCTGCAGACAGTTGGCGACTTCTGTGCACTGTGCGCTTCAGCATACGCTGACCCCGCCCTGTCATGTGACGTGGCCTACCACTTGTTGGCTGAGTGGCTGTTGTTCCCAGTTGCTTCCACTTTGTTATAATCCCACTAACAGTTGAGCGTGGAATATTTAGTAGCCAGGAAATGGCACGGATGGACTTATTGCCCAGGTGGCCACCTATCACGGGACCACGCTTGGAGTCACTGAGCTCCTGAGAGCGACCCATTCTTTCACCAATGTTTGTAGAAACCGTCTGCATGCCTAGGGGCTTGATTGTATACACCTGTGTCCATGGAGGGATTGGAACACCTGAATCACATGATTGGGAGGGGATTGGAACACCTGAATCACATGATATGGAGGGGATTGGAACACCTGAATCACATGATATGGAGGGGATTGGAACACCTGAATCACATAATATGGAGGGGATTGGAACACCTGAATCACATGATATGGAGGGGATTGGAACACCTGAATCACATGATATGGAGGGGATTGGAGCACCTGAATCACATGATATGGAGGGGATTGGAGCACCTGAATCACATGATATGGAGGGGATTGGAACACCTGAATCACATGATATGGAGGGGATTGGAGCACCTGAATCACATGATTGGGAGGGGATTGGAACACCAGAATCACATGATTGGGAGGGGATTGGAACACCTGAATTACATGATATGGAGGGGATTGGAACACCTGAATCACATGATATGGAGGGGATTGGAGCACCTGAATCACATGATTTGAAGGGCTGGCCCAATACTTTTGGCAATATAGTGTATGTAATGCCGGAGAGGACTGTCTGAGACTGCAGACCTAATAGAGGAAATGAGGGTCAGAGAATGAGGACAGGATCAGGGGCGGACTGACAACTCATGGGGCCTCCGGGCAATAGGGGATCATGGGGCGCCTGTGTCCTTGCCCAAACTCAAAAAAGCCTATGAAAAAGATACCAGGGGCATCTCATTGGGTCCCCTACTGACCCCAAGGCCCTCGGGCAGTGCCCAAGTTTCCAAATGGTCAGTCCACCCTTGGACAGGATACATTGTTGGTTGGGGATATGCTGCAGAAGACAATATGAACCTGGGAACATGTGAGGCTGATAGAGATCAATACTGTTACCCCAACCAATGTTCCCACTACAGACTGCTGAGGTCTGAGGGCCACACATCATATAACAAAGGGCCACTGGTTCTAAACTGTTGTAAGAGCTTCCATGGAAGAGAGTGCCTTCACTTGCTAACTCCGGGGTTTGGTATCCGCCTGCTTACAGGCTTGCCATCTGCTACCTGAGAAGAGCTCCATGTCATCTGCCCTACCTGCTTGGCAACGCTCACTCCTTGGGCCCACTTCTACAGCTGTGACACCCCATTACTTCAGCAAATGCTGAAGGAAGAGCTGCCTGGAGAACTCAGCCCGAATGATCTCCCAAGGACCAACAGTCCCATGGAGCCACCCTAACAAGAGCCACTTTACCAGGATGGCCTCCCCCATCGGGCCAGGGGTCGAACTGTTGTCCTGAATCATCTGGAAAGCCAATACAGTATAAGGGGAAAATAATGGTGAATAAAGCACTTTCTGTTCACTCAATCATTTTTTGCTCATTAATTCTTTATTGTCTGTGTATCTGGGAGCATGGTGTGGGTTTGTCCTTCAAATACATAGTTTGTGTAAAAAGATGTCCCTTCTTCTCATCTCAGAAGGTCGGGAGGTATGACTTAGATGGGGCTCCAAGGTCTTCTCTACGTATGGAGGAATATGAGGACATTTACATACAAGATGCACAATGTTCCTCATCTGTATTGTTGGTTTATATACTCTGTGTAATGTTAAGGCTGACTTTAAATGGCGGGGAGCCTGAGTCTAGGGAGGGGTGAGACAATGACAGCCGCATGAGGTGTGAATGCATGGCTTTGTACTCATAATGGAGGCTTTTGTAATTCGGTGAAGGTTGCAGCTGAGCGTTCTGTCTCATGAAGTTTTATCACTTATGTAATGATGTAACCTGGAGAGTTTGCTGCGGCGGCGTGTCACCGACATATCTCCTCCACTCTGAGCATGATTTATGGGAGCAGCGCAGTCCAAGTGTATCCGCGTCTGTGCCAAATTTCATCAGGATTCCCAGAGTCCGGTCTTTGTCTTCCTTCCACGATCCTGTTTGTGGAAGGATAAATCATATGCCCTCAGGTGATTCTTTATAGTAGACAATGGCGTACTAATGGGAAGGCGAAATCCTGGCCAAATCTGTATCAGAATGATGAAATGAGAAGTGAGTTCCTGGATCGGGGAATTTATCATTTCCTTATGGCCTCGTGAATCCTCAAACCCATCAGAACATTTCATCATTGCATTTTATTAGTTTATTTTTATTTTCTGCTCCATGCCTATAAAAAGCGTGATTTATCTTGTTCTTTGTTCGGTACAAGATGCTCATTCACATTTTATATTGAAGCCGAGTGATTCTCTGTGAAGTCAGACTGAGATTTTCAATCCCAATTCCAGAGATGTGCTAAGATGACTTAAAGAGCCCCTGACGCAACCTTGCAGGCCACAACACAGACAAATCAAGCAGTTTAAATGCTCATTTACTTGCCGCCTTTTTGCTTTTCAGTGTATATTGGCTTGCAATGGGCCTTTAATCTTTTTAGCAAAGTTGACTACTGTAGGGTGAGGGCACAGATATGCCTGGTGTAGTTGCCCTTTCTGACCACAAGATGACGTTAGAGGACCACTTAGATTAATTGGCAGTGTAGGTTCTGTAGGAGCCACTAGAGGTCCCCATATATCTGATGGCAGTGATTGATATGGTCACTTAAGAGTTAATCCCAGCCGTGTCCCTGCCAGCAGTGGGGCACCTTGGGTATAACGCTAGAGCAGGGGTCTCCAAACAAAGGGCCAGTATACTGTCCTTCAGACTTTAGGAGGGCCGGATTAGGGCCAGTGAGGATAGAAAATGTCCTGGCCCCAGCATCAATGAGAATAAACATGGCCTCAGGGTTGATGGTCAGTAGGAGGAGCAGTGCCCCATCATTGGTATTAGTGCAAAGAATAGTACACCATCATTGGTTTCCATGGAAGAAGTAATGCTCCATTGCTGGTCTCAGTAGGAGGAATAGTGCCCCAAGGAATGAATAAAAGTTAGTAAAGGACCATATCCGGCCCTCGGGCAGCATTTTGGAGACCCCTGCACAAGAGAATAGATAGTATTAGTGGGGAGCCACCAGGAGGTCATCATGAAAGTGTCTGGAGACCAGGATACAACAAAGATGTAAGGCATGTAAGCCTCCTCTTAGAGGGAAGCAGAGGAGGAAAGGTACAGGAATTTTGGGATTACTCACCTTCCCTGTCTATGTATACAGGACTCTCAGCAACCCCTGTAAAGCTATAGACTACTTCCCCACTCACACTCTCCTCACTTATCAAATGTTCTGTAGCTGAAGTATCGTGCTGTCGCCATGGATCAGGATGTCTGAAGTATGCACTGCAAATATTGATTGTTCAAATAAAGCATTGAAAAGCCTTTCTGCTTCTGGACTCTTCCTAACCTCTACTGGGAACATCTCCTGGTAATGGGCTTCTGTCAGTGAGGACTGCTGTGGGGCTCATTGCTGTAAGACCTGTAGGGGGTATGTGAATGCAGAGCTGGAGAATACTGCTTGGACCAGCACAGGTGTCTCTAATGGGGGGAGCTCACTTGTAGGGGTAAGCCATAGCATAGGCCAGAGAGCCATTTTTCTCATGTCTCCCAAGGAGCCAAAGCCTCCATGTCTCCCAAGGAGAGTCCCCATGTATCCCAAGGATCCAAAGTCCCCATGTATCCCAAGGAGCTAAAATCCTTGTGTATCCCAAGGATCCAAAGTCCCTATCTACCCCAAGGAGCCTAAGTCCCATTGTCTCCCAAGGATCCAAAGTCCTTGTGTATCCCAAGGATCCAAAGTCCCTATCTACCCCAAGGATCCAAAGTCCCTATCTACCCCAAGGAGCCAAAGTCCCTGGGCACCCCAAGAAGTCTAAGTCCCATTGTCTCCCAAGGAGCCAAAGTTTCTGTGTCTCCCAAGGAGTCAAACTCCCCATGTTTCCCAAAGAGCTAAAGTCCCCATGTACACAAATGAGCCAAAGGTTCTTGGCACCCCCAGGAGCCACAATTCCTGTGTACCCTAAGGAGCCAAAGTCCCTGGATACCCCAAGGAGCCAAAGTCCAAGGTACAGAAAGGATAACAATTCCCTATGTAGCCTAAGAAGCCAAAGTCCCTGTGTACCTTAAGGTGCCAAAGTCCCCGGGTAAGGCAAGGATCCCCAGGAGGAGACCATTGTGTTAAAGGGACCCATCTACTCATCCAGGCATATGCAGCCCAGTATACTTTCCAGGAACTAAAAGTAATTGCCGATATTTATATTTGCACCTACAGTGAGAAATGTGGTCATTTTTGCTGTTCCTCCTCTTCTATGTCAGCTGACGTTGAGGGCTCAGTGAGGTTGAAAAGTGTCAGTTGGCATTAATTTTCTAGTAGTTAAAGTTAACAGGTAGTCAGTAATGATGAGCTAAGGTTTGGGTCAAACCTGAGGGAAGTTGTTACATGAATTCAAACCACTTGCAAAATCAGCTGTGGCCATGGAATACCTCACCCCGCAGCCTCACGTAGGGGATGCTGGTGACGTCACTGACCTAATATGGCCACATGGTCAGAGTATGGCTACTTGGTCATATTTGGATAATGTCATCAGTAAGAAACCCCACCCCTTTGTTACGTGTGGCTGTGGGCCAAGGAATTCCGAGATAACTGGGCTGAGGGCCTGCTATCAACTGACAGCTTCCTCCAGGATCAGGCCAAATTGGGTTGAGCCCGAACCTTGGCTCATCACTAGCCATCAGCCTTAGAAAATATTGTCCATTATTATACCACTTTCATTTCAAAGTTTAATCTGCTTCTATTTTGTCCCCCCCCCCCCCCACATACTAATGACATTAGTAGAGAAAACCTTCTTTGGTTGCCACCCAGTAAGCTCCAGGAGAAGATTGAAGGATGTGTACGATTGTATTCGCTCATCTTTAGTCTGCCCGTAGACTTTGGATGATGGAACATGGATAGACTTGCTGATGACCCCATACCTACATGTGAGGCGAAAATAATATGAAGAATATAAAACCAATTCCCAGCGTTCAGCTATCAGAATTATAACCTGCCTTTAATATTTCACTTACTGTATATAGATCTTCATTTGCAGACATTTACATATATATTGGAATCCACAGACCGGTGCCAAGACGTCTCCTTGCATTGTGCTCCTTCACCTTCAGTTGGGTTTATTGGAGTTCTAATTCAGCTGCCCAGAAAGAGTCCAATTGAAGCCATGGAATGCCATTGTAGGAGATGATGTTGTTGCTCATAGCAGCCAGTTTGGTTCCAACTGTCAGTTCTCATTTAGAAAATTAAAACTTTATTGTTTCTTCTGGACACCGGCCCCATTTTTATGTCGGGCTTTTTTTAATGAACTCTTTTGTTGCCTCATGGGTCAGATGGTGTCACGGTCGGGGGTCAGGCTTGCAGACCAGAAGGTATAGCAGTAGAGAGGCTCAAACTGACCAGACGGACAGTATACAAGAAGGTCACTATGATGCAGGCGGGGTCTAAGTACTTTTTTTCCCCAGCAGGAGCAGATCGGATCGTGCTTTGCTGGGTTTTTTTTTGCCTTCCTCTGGATCAACTGTGGGTGTCGGATTATAACTTTTTTTTTTTAATGGTTGAACTGGATGGACTTTTGTCTTACCAGTATGTAACTTACCATTATTCACCAGAGATCCTGATGGTGGGGATGGGTTTTGCTGAATTTTAGTACCAAGTTGCGGTCCTCAGGATCGCTCCACCAGAAAGTGAGCAAGCTGGGGTCCAGTAGTAGATGTAGCAGGTTGGGATC